GCTACCAGAGCTCCTTGCTCTTCACTAGGGCATAGGAAATAGCATAGAGAAGGAAATCATGGGTAGGACTAGGAAGAAAACAGTAATGTGACAGAGAATCTTATAAGCCATTGCTTAAGTCTCAAGATCTTGGTAGTCTTGGGTGTTCCATTTAAAGAGAATGTTTACTTCTAAAGTCTACATTACAATCAGAAAGCCTCTTTGAACATTAGGTATCTCTTGAGAGTAACTTTTATACTGTGACCAGATGTATGTAGGAATAAGGAGTCAAATGTAGGCCTAATCTAGTGACAAGCACAGAGCTAATTACAAATTTTTGGTGTCTATAAACACACAGCAGGAGCCCTGGTGGCACCATAGGATAAGCACTAGACTGCTACTCACAAGATCAGCAGTTCAAGCCCATCAACCACTCCGCAGGAGAAAGAAAAAGCTTTCTGGTCCAGTAAAGATTTACAGCCTCATGAACCATATACTGTCTCCTGACTCTTTGTCATCATCTTCTCAAGTTTCAAGAGGGTTCTCCTTGTTGTTAACTGTCATTGAGTTGACTCCAACACATGGCAATCTTAGGTATGACAGAATGAAACATTGCATGGTCATTGGGGTCATGGTGTGGCACTGTAGGATAAGCACTAAACTGACCACAAGGTTGGTGGTTCAAAACCACTAACTGCTTCTCAGAAAGCCAATACACAGTCGTTTTGAGTCAGAACCAACTTGACGGCACTTAACACCCAAAGGAACCCCCTATATAGGGTATCTAATAGTGGTAATGGACTTGATGGACTATGCACCAATCCACAGTACATAGTTTTGAAACCACAGAGAGAACATCTCCTTTCTACAAAAGGCCCAATATTTTTTTGTGATTATGTTGTTCAAAGTCTAGAGTGAACAGAATTACAGTCACTGAGAGCCAAAAAATTAGCCTTTCAAAAATAATAACGTGAAGGAAAGGACCAAACAAATAACTAAGGGCAAAGTCACAAAAGAAGTATCATGTGGGAAAACATCACTCCTCACAAACCACAATAATCTGCCCTTTCCTTCAAAATGTTACATATTTTTGTCAGATCAACTCTTAGAAATGTACCCTGCTATGTAGATCATGGATATGATTTTCCTGTTGATAGTTTAGCATTTGATTGAAGTGATATATAAATCAAGGATTCTTAACAGATCCTTCTCTAGTGAGAACATGCCCTACAGGCAAACTAGTAGAGCCAGCTCAGCTATGTTTAGCAAGCCCTGTAAGTGGTTTTCATATTTGAAATTGAAGTCTTCTGGGGCTAGGTCTAGATCCCTCTCATAAGAACATGCTAAGTAAAACACCATCCGATTACTTTCACAATGATGCACAAGACCATTAATTTGGCAGTCCCTAACTAGAGGTATTTTAATCAATTATAAAAGGAGCCCTAGTGGCATTGTGAAGTCCTGATGTGGCACTGTAGGATAAGCACTGGACTGCAAGGTCAGTTTGAACTGCAAGGTCAGCGGTTCAAACTCACCAGCCACTCCTCAGGAACCCTATACAGGGTTGCTATGAGTCGAAGTCAACTCGACAGCCCTTAATAACAACAGTGGCATTGTGGGCTAGGCATTGGGCTGCTAGTTGCAAAGTTGGTGCTTCAAACCAGCCAGCTGCTCCATGGGAGAAAGATGAGGCGGTCTGCTCCTGTAGAGATTTACAGCTTTGGAAATGCTACATAAAGCTCCATATGAATTGAAATCATCTCAGTGGCAGTGGGTTTGGATTTTTGGACCTGGAGATATTTCCATCCATTTACATCCTCGTTAGTTTTCATTATTAGGACTGTTAGCCAGCTTTGACTTTCACACGTGCAGTTCTCTGTGCCAGGTCTTCCTGCAAAAAGGCAAAGCACAGAGCTGCTGAGGAGCGCTGGGTGTTACCACTCCTCTGAACTTGACTACCAATTCCTGCCATTTAAAAAGGAGAGCAAGAGGGAGGAAATAAAAATCCCCTTTTGTGATAGGAGATGGCTTTTGATGTCTCTTGGTTTTCTTAGATCTTTCCAGTTTGGAAGCTTTTGATTTGCTATTCCTGTGAAACCACCCCCTATGACCCTCTCTTTCTCTCATAGCTTGAAGCAGCAGCCACAAGGGTCCATCCTGTCAGCTCTGTCCCATGGCTGACAGAGCAGGTGTGTTTTCTTTTGAAGCTTATGCTGCAGCAATGTGGGACCCAGTATGAGCTGGAGAAGCTTCTCCAGCTGTTTGTTGGAATCGAGCAGCTCTTCTCTGATGGTAAGACCATCCTTACAGTGTACTAGCTGTGAAGAAGTGAGCTTACTGAATCATGAAGATAGTTTACAAGGCCAGTCAAGACATTAAAATGTGTGTGTTATATAGCATATGTTTACAGTGCGTAACTGAGTGAGAAGTCTAGAGTGAACAGAACTGCAGTCACTGAGAGCCAAAAAATTAGCTTTTGAAAAATAATAACGTGAAGCAAAGGACCAAACAAAAACTAAGGGCAAAGTCAGGTACAGGTTACTTTGAAATCACAGTTCAAGTATTAAACGTAGTATAACAGGAAATAACGTAAATAATCCAGCTATCTTCTCCATCTAAGCAGCTACCAGATAGCCACATGTTCTCAACTAGTCTTTACCTTACCTTGTCACTAGCATCCTTTTCACTGACAAATAACCTCAACATGTCATCATTGCTCAAAGCCACAACCTTGCTTCAAGAACACATAATGCATGTGGAACCTTCCGAGACAGACTGCTGCTGCTTTGCAGATTCCTCCAGATATTGTCACTGTCTTAGCTTGTTGCCTATTACATCCAACCAATATTGCCTTAACTCTGTCTTTCACTTGTTTGACAATTTTTTTGTTGAGTTCTACACTTTATTCTGACATTTTCATACTAGGGTTATTTTATCACATTTAGACTCACAGATGTTCAAACAGGAGCTCAGACTTGCACAGAACTGACAGAATGTGTCAGGCCCAGTGCCAGTGTTGTAGGCTGTAGGTCCGATGACTAAAAGGAAAGAGGGGTGCTTCCAAATTACAGTAAATTCAACATGGTACTTGTCAGTTACTGTGTACTACCAGATAATAGAGCCTGAGGACATACAGGTGTTTTCACTGATTTATAGTGATTTTAGTTTGTTTCAGAAATGAAAAATTTTTTGCAGTTACTTTATCCCTGAATAATTACATTAATGAAAATTACTCTAATATTCTTATTCATATAATTAAATTATTTTTATAGAATGCCTGTGTTGTGTGTATGTACTTGTTATCGTTGTTAGATGCTGCTGAGTTGGTTCAGACTCAGACTGAGCCTGTGTACAACAGAAGGGAACAGTGCCCAGTCCTGTGCAGTCCTCACAGCCATGTTGGAGTCCACTCTCGTAGTTGCTGCTATGTCAGTCCATTTTGTTGAGGGGCTGAGCCTCCACTTTTCCAAGCATGCTGTCCTTCAGGTCCCTCCACGTAACATGTCCAAATTATGGGGCATGAAGTCTTGCCGTCCTTGCTTCAAAGGAACACTGACTGACTTCTTCTAAGACAGATTTGTTTGCTTTTCTGTATATTCAGGTTTATTCGATATTCTTTGCCAAAACAGTAATTCAAATGCCCCAGTTCTTTAGTCTTTCTTATTCGTTTTCCAGCTTTCACATAGCTATGAAGTAGTTGAAAATATTGTGGCTTGGGTCAGGTGCACTTCGAGTCTTCAAAGTGGTATCCTTGCTTTGTAACCCTTTAAAGAAGTCTTTTGCAGCAGATTTTCTCAATTCAATACATTACTTGATTATTTGCTGCTTCTGTGGGCATTATTGTGGATCCTAAGTAAAATGAGATCATGACAACTTCAATCTTTTTCCATTTATCGTTGTTATATATTGGTCCAGGTATGAGAAGTTATGCTTTCTTTATGCTGAAGTGTAATCCATGCTGAAGGCTGTGTTGTTGTTAGGTACCGTCGAGTCAGTTCCAACTCACAGTGACCCTGTATAAGGTTTCCAAGGAGCAGCTGGTGAGTTTGAATCGCCGACCTTACAGTTCAAACCAACCTTCTGGTTGAATGCTTATCATACAGCGCCACACCAGGACTCCACTGAAGGCTGTAGTCTTTGATATTCATTAGCAAATGTCTCATGTCCTCTTCACTTTCAGCAAGCAAGTTGTATCACCTGCATATCGCATGTTAATGAGTCTCCCTCCAATCCTGATACTGCATGTTTCTTCATAGAGTCTAGCTTCTTAGATAATATGCTCGGTATACCAATTGAATAAGAATGAGGGGGCTTCAGAAAAATTCATGAAAAAAAGAAAAGATAAGGATGGTGTACAGTGATGCAAACCCTGGTGTACACATTTCCTGATTTTAAACCACATAGTATCCCCTTGTTCTGGTCAAACTACTGTCTCATGGTCTACATTACAGGTTATACCGGAGAATTCCCATTCTTCACAGTGTTAGCCATAATATGTGTGATCCACACAGTCAGATGCTTTGCATAGATTCTGTAGCACAAGTAAATATCTTTCTGGTATTGTCTACTTTCAGACAAGATCCATCTGACATCAGCCATGATATTCCTCACTCCGTCTCTTTTGAATCTGGTTTGAATTTCTGGCATTTCCCTCGATGTACTGCTGCAACTTTTTTGAATTCTCCACCAGAACTTTGAGTGTGATATTAATGATACTGTTTAATAATTTCCGAATCCTGTTGGATTACTTTTTTTTGAAATGGGCACATATATGAATCTCTTCTAGTCAGTTGACCTGTTCTCCAAGTATCTTTGCATAGACAAGTAAGCACTTCCAGTAGTGCATCAGTTTGGTGTTCCATCAGTTCTGGGAGCTTTGTTTTTCACCAGCGTCTTTAGCTGGACTTGTTCCTTAAGCCAGTTCTTGATCATATGTTATTGCCTAAAATGGTTGAACATCAGCCAATTCTTTTTGGTACAGTGACTCTGTATTTCTTTCATCTTCTTTGTGTACTTTCTATATCATTCAATATTTTTCCCATTGTTAATATTTCTAAATGTCACTGTGTCTCTTCCAACTCTTAGCACCCTGTATAGTGTTTCCCAGGAGCGACTGGTGGGTGTGAACCACTGACCTTGTGGTTAGCAGTCTAGTGCTTATTCTATAGTGCCAGTACTTCAGTATTACAATTTGAGGCTTGAACTTTTTCTTCACTTCTTTCAGCTTGAGAAATGCTGACCATGTTCTTACCTTTTGGTTTTCTAACTCCAGGTCTTCTTGAATCACCTTTTGAAATCTTTAATCCAAGAATAAGTCTCAGAGTATCTTCTGACATCCATTTTGGTCTTTTCTTTTCCTGTTTTTTTTAATGACCTTATGCGTTCTTCATGGATGATGTCCTTGACGTCATCGTACAACTTGCCTGGTCTCTTGATCTTTAGTGTTCAGTGTTTCAGATCTTCTTAAGATGCTCATTAAATTCAGGTTGAATATATTCAAAGTTGTACTTTGACTCTTGTGGACTTGTTTAATTTTCTTTGGCTTCGTCTTGAACTTGCATATGAGCAGTTGATGGTCTGTTTCACAGTTGGCCACTGGCCTTGTTCTGACTAGTGATATTAAGCATCTCCATCACTCTTTGCACATAGTCAGTTTGATTCCTGTGTATTTCATTATGCAAGGTCTATGTGTATAGTTTATGTTGTTGAAAAAAATGATTTGCAGTGAATAAGTCACTGGTCTTGCATAGTTCTATCATGTGATCTCTGGTGGCATCTGTATAACCAAGGCCATATTTTCTTTATTTCCAGCTCTCACCGTCCAATCACCAGTGATTATCAGTGCATCTTGAATGGTGTATTTGATCAATTCCAGACTGCAAAAATTGATAAAAATCTTCCATTTCTTCATCTTTAGCATTATTGATTGAACAATATTTGTAGTAATTGGTCTTCTTTGTAGATGTATGCATATTATTACTATCACAGCAATATACTAAAGGACAGATTTGAAATGTTCTTATTGATAGTGAATATGTTGCTATTTCTCTTCAATTTGTCATTCTCAGCATAGTAAAACGTATGACTGTCTGATTCAGAATGGCCAATACCAGTCTATTTCAGCTTAGTAATACCAAGGCTATCCATCTGTATGAATTCCATTTCATTTTTTGATGATTTCCAATTTTCATACATTCCAAGTTTGGATTATATAAAGGGATGTTTGAAGTGGTTTCTTCTCACTATGAGTCATGCCACATCAGCAAATAAATGTTCCCAAAGCTTTACTCTGTCCACGTCAGTAAGGTCGACTTTACTTTGAGGAAGCAACTCTTCCCCAGTCGTACTTGAGTGTCTTCCAACCTCAAGTGTTCATTTTCTGGTACTATATATCTTCATAAGGTTTTCATTGGCCAGAGTTTTTGCAGGTAGTTTGCCAGGTCTTTCTTTCTAGTCTCTCTTAGTCTGGACGCTCTGCTAAAACCTGTCCACTATGGGGGACTCTTCTGGTATCTGAAATACCATTGACATAGCATCCAGCATCACATCACACAGCAACAGCATTATGTCAAGTTGACAGATGAGTGATGGTAAGCGCTGTCGAGTCGGTTCCGACCCTTAGCAACCCTGTATAGGGTTTCTAAGGAGCAGCTGGTGAGCTTGAACCGCCGACCTTGCAGTTCAAACAACTTTGCAGTCTGGCACATTAACCGCCAATACCACACCAGGACTTAGATAATAGTATTTTTTTAAAGCCCCGTATCTTAAATAATGTCAGCACTGTACCAGGTTTCCCACTCTTCTTGGAAGCTACCTAAAGCACACCACAGCCCAGCAAGGTGGCATTGTGAAATAGGCTCCTAGGGAATGTTGTTGGCAGAGAATTCTTGATGTTACTAAGCATAAGAATTTTCCAGATGTTGGGAAGAGCTCAGCTGGTTCTCCCTGGATTAAGTAGATATTTGTCAGGAGGATCTTATATGGTGTGCCTCCTTAGCAATCTGGGCTGTGGGCCGGCTACAGTTTCAGCTGCCTTAAAAGTTTTGTGTCTTACTGTACTTGATGCCTTCAGTGAATGAATAAATGAACAAATTCATTTAGTCAGAGTAGGAGAAAATTCAAAAAGAGATGGGACTAGCCTGAGTATGTGGCTACAGTCTTCCCAGGGTTGACTGATCTACTGCTATACACGGGGACCTCAAAAAGTTTGTGGAAAATGGAATTAGAAGACAATGTGGAATTTTTCCTTGAACTTTTTGAAGCCCCTTGTACATAGCAGGCCACCAGTCTTTGCCCTGTGTATAAAGTCAGATATGTAGGTTGTTCATTTGCTGATCTCTTAACAGTTCTTACTGGAGAGCGGACAGGTTCAGCCAGACTTACTGGTAAGGATTTGACAGTGCTACTTTGCCAGTTTTGCTATATAGGAACTGTCTTATGGCTTCTTCTGCTAGTCACCCAGAAGAGAAAAATAGGTGGTGTTTCCTCCCTTTTAATGATATTACTGCATGCATGTTTAGCTACTCTTGAAATGCCACAGTATTATTTTATTGGTTAAATGTTTCTATCGTTTTCTCTTGGCACAGGTCCAGATGTGAAGAAGCTGTGTGCCCTCAGCCAAATGTTGAAGGATACATCCATAGCCATTAATCACACCATTATTACCAGCTATAGCACGGAGAATTTTCAGCATGAATGTACATCCATTTTGGAAAGACTGCAGACAGATGGACAGTTTGCTTTGGCCAGGAGTGTAGCAGAATTAGCTGAATTACCTGTGGACAGCTTGGTTATTGAAGAGGTATCTATAGACTTTTAAGTTATTTAAAATCTGAACTTTAAAACCAGCACTAAACAGAGGATCAAATGAGGTATACAATTTGTAGGAGATGAAGCTTTTCGCTTTTGATATACCCATTACTGAATGAAGACTGTGTGCTTTAAATGGAAGCTTAGTCAATAAGATTTGTTATAGTTATTTTCCTTTAAATAGAATTAAATATAAAGTGGCTTCATCTTGAACCTCATTCAATTAGAGGGCTGTTCCCTAGTATTATTTGTTCCCTTTAGAGACCTGTCTAGTTAGGCTTAACTTTCCAAATAAAGTATTGGTGGTCATCTATACCACAAGTGGTTTTAAGTTAAAGGTGTGTAAAATTTTTTCTGATACTCAGAGCCAGAATGAAAAATTGTTTGTCTCAAAGATAGATTTACCAGATAGTTTTTATACTTTTTGGAAATTCAGATAGTGTATATATGGAAATCTAATGAGTTACAGGGAATGATTAAGGTGACCGAGTATAGCCAAGTCCATGTTTTTGATTTGCTTTAGTTTTTACGAAGTTTAGGTGCGGAACATTAGTATTCATGGTGCTTTTCACCCAGTAAAGGCTTCAGTTCATTTGGTTTCACTTTCACAGATAACTCAGGAAATGCAGATCCTAAAACACATTGAACAGTGGTCCCTAAAACAAGCAAGAATTGACTTCTGGAAAAAATGCCATGAGAATTTTAAGAAAAATTCTATTTCGAGCAAATCAGCTTCATCCTTTTTCTCGTCCCAGGCCCTTGTGGCTTGTGCACCCCCAACTGAGGAGCAGCGGAGTAGCGTTGAGGAGCGCCATCTGCTGCTCACCCTGGCAGGGCACTGGCTTGCCCAAGAGGATCCAGTGCCTGTGGCTGAGTTGGAAGAACTAGAGAAGCAGATCTGGCTCTGCCGCCTCACCCAGCACATCCTGGGAGGAAGCCAGGAGGAAATAGACCCCAGATCTTCTCAACAGATCTCAACTAGTGGCAAACTTTCCTTTCATAGCTTAGCCAGTGAGTTTTCCTTCTCCAAGTTGGCTGCTCTGAATACATCAAAATACTTAGAACTTAACAGTCTTCCATCCAAAGATTTAAGTGAGAATAGACTGGATTGGAAGGAGAAGGAATCACTAAACTTTTTGATTGGGCGCCTATTGGATGATGGCTGCGTGCATGAAGCCAGTAGAGTATGCCGGTATTTCCGTTTCTACAATCGAGATGTTGCCATGGTGTTGCACTGCAGAGCACTGGCCTCAGGAGAGGCTGGTGTGGATGACCTGCACCCAGAAATCCATGCTCTCCTACAGAGTTCTGAGCTGCTTGAGGAAGAAGACTCTGGTGTTCCTCTGCGGAAAGTCCAAAGCAGTAAGTGCAGGAGATCTGACTGCCCTGAGACCAAAGTGGAGCTATTGGCTTTCTCTTCAGGAAGAAAGGGCTCTTTTGGCATAATATTTATACTCATTTAAGGACACAGTGACTCTTTTCCAGTTAATCTGCAAATTAGGTTATTAACTAGTTGGTGAAGTAGTAATACTTTTAACTAGTAAGTCTCTTAACTAGCTTTGTATCCAGGTTAAAGGGAATCCATCTGGCTAGTAGACGTTGTTGCTAAGTGCCTTCAAGTCAGGTTTCCGAGGAGTGGCTGCTGGGTTGGAACTGACGACCTTGTAGGTAGCTGTCCAGTGCTTATCCTATAGCACCATACCAGTACTCCAATTTCCAGGCAGTTCACTGAAATGAACTCTGTACAAGTCGGTTTCTAGTTGTACATTGGTAGTACATGGAAATGTGTTTGATAGTTATGTGACTTTGCTAAATTCAGGGAGTCCTGGTGGTTCTGAGGGATAAGCATTGTGCTGCTAACCACAAGGTCAGCAGTTCAAGCCCACCAGCAGGAGAAAGCTGATGCTGTCTGCTCCCGTAAAGATTTATAGGGTTGCTATAGATGTTGGCGAAGTGGTTACGAATTGGGCTGTGAACTGCAAGGTCGACAGTTCAAAACTACTAGCTGTTCTGCAGGAGAAAGATGAGACTTTCTGCTCCCATACAGATTTACAGCCTCGGAAACCCTGTACAGGGTCACTATGAGTTGGAACCAATTGGAGGCACATAACAGTAGATGTTGAATTTTGTCACATTTTTTTCCTGCATCAGTTGATCTGATCATGATGGATTATATTGATTGATTTTTTTTCAACATGAAACCAGAGTTACAGCCCCCGGATTGTGGTGCTATATGTATGTATGTATGTACGTATTTATATATGTATGTATGTATGTACGTATTTATATATGTATGTATGTATGTATATATGTATGTATGTACGTATGTATAGGACTATTCAGATTATTTATCTGGAGTGCAGTTTTCGTTGTTTGTAGTTTTTGAGGAAGCCTTTTTTCAAAATTTCTTTTGTGTTGAACTTTTTTTAGTATTTCGTTTTAGTTTTCTGCTTAAGGTTTTGACAGTCTCTCTGTATAGTGTTTTTGATTGGTTGCTTTAGGGCAACTTTTAAAACTGCAGACTCAATGTTTTACCACCTCATGTGGAATATAGAAATCTTACCAGCTTATTTCCGTTATAGTCTAGTAATTCTATTGATGGTGGTGGTATTAAGTGCCTTTGAGTTGGTTGCAACCCTGTATAGTGTTTCCAAGGAGCAGCTGGTGAGCTTGAACCACTGACCTTGCAGTTTAAATAACTTCATAGTCCAGTACATTAACTCATAGTACCACATCATGACTCCAGTTATTATATTATATCGAAACACCCATCAAACAGTGCTATAATTTTTTGCTTTCAACTGAAAAATATATTTTAAAAACTCTAGAAGAGACAAGTAGTCTCACATTTTTTCACATATTTAGAATTTTGTTGATCTTCTTTATTCTTGATGTTAACATGTTTGTTTCTGGGCTCTGTTTTTTGTGGTCTGAAGTATTTCTTTTAGAACTGTCTGCTGACAGCACAGTCTCTTATTTATTTATTTATTTTACCATTTGAGAATGTCTCCATTTCATCTTCATTCCTGGCAGATATTTTTGTCAGGTATAGAAAATGAGTTCTTTTCTTTCTGTTTAGAAATGTTGTACCACTTCCTTTTGACCTCCATCTGATAAAAACTCTTCAAGTGATTAGAAGGACAGAGCAAAAAGTAATGGGTTTCACTTTACTTTTCTTGGGACCAGAGCTCCTTGAATCAGAAAAAAAGTTTCTCTCGAAGAGTCTAGCTCTTGGCACCTATGCTACAGCATTGGCCACCACCCTTACCACAAGTGGGCTGCGTGGAGCTGCAGTGAGAGACACTATGACTCCCCTTTCCTGGTCCCGGATCCATTGTGAGAGGGTCCTTATTAGAGCCCTCTGTGCTTACAGAGCTTTGTTCAGGGCCTGCTGGGTGGGTTGGGAGTGTTAGGATGGCGGAAACACAATGGTAAATTTACTGAGTTGGTGATCCGATGCACTGGGTCTTTTTCCCCAGTCCACCTGCTCCTCTTTACTTTTCGGAGTCCTCATATGGAGCCCTGCCTTCTGTCCAGGTTTCATAGTAGAGTCCAGTGGGAGAAACAGGCCAGAGTGTGCATACTTCATCAGACCTAGAATGTCACTAAAACCCCTGGAAGGATTCTAAGCAGGGGGCTAATGGTCTGAACTGCCTTTTACTTTGCTGTCTTTAAAGAACTTTTACATTGTTAAATATTTTAAATGCTAAAATATTATAAGCTTAATGTAACAAATCACATAGTAGACAAGTGCATAAAGTAAAAAGTGGAAGTATGTATGTATTCAATACCACCCCACCAAGCTCCGCAGAATGACATCTTATACCCACACCTGCACACGGACTTTATGATGAAAATGAGATTTGTTCAACATTTCCTCTTGTCACTGCATAGGGATTTACCTTATTTTTCTTAATGGCCTCAGAGTAGTATAGTATAGGAACATACTATGCTCTAATTAAACATCCTTTACTGATGTACATTTAAATTTTTCTTGATTCTACGTATTTAAGGCACATCAGACAGTCTCAGGTTTTTGTGATTTGCATTTTAGAAAACTCCTGCTGAATGTTTACAAAATTGACTTAGGGGAGAGGGAGGCAGTTATCAGCCTCTCAGGTACAGATGAAAGAGCTCTGGTAGGTAGTACGCATTGGCCTGCTAACCGCAAAGTCAGAAGTTCAAATCCACCAGCCTCTTGGCAAGAGAAAGATGAGGATTTTTGCTCCTGTAAAGATTTACAGCCTTGGAAACCCTCTACAGGGCCACTGTGAGTTGGAATTGACTCCACGACAGTCAGCAGCAGCAGCAGGTAGGTACAGATGAAGACGGCTGGAACTCAGGCAGTTTTTAAAGGGAAGAAGCAGTAGCTGCCTGGTTACCTATTTGAACTGAAGGGAAATTGGGAAAGCTGTAAGGGAGGATCTGTGAACATCGTTGGTGCTGATCCTCTGGCTTGTTTGTTAGGTGACTCTGGGTCATTTGTAGCATGTGAGATCTCTGATGTTAGGTACCCTGGGCTAGGATTTCCTGGAAGAAGGCAATGAAAGCAGTGTATGGGAGGCCCAGTCAGAGGTGGCTCCAGACCACAAGGAGTCTTGGGATACCATGCATGGAGCTACAAGCATACAGGTAGAGGGCACCTCAGTCTACCAGCTTGGCACCTGCCCTCAGCCCTGTATTTGCTTCCAGCTTCAAGTTTGGATAGCCAGTCCTTTGTGATGGTGCCCCCCAATGATAAAGTGGTGACTGATCTGGAAACTCTGACCAGCAAATGCCTCCATGGGAAAAACTACTGCCGGCAGGTCCTCTGTCTGTATGAACTTGCCAAGGTATGTGCTAGAGGGTGGGGCCTCCCCAGGAGCTGGTCTTCTGAGAAGGGAGGGAAGCGGGAAGTTGGGGTGGATTTGGGGCACTGCCACATCAGCATTTCAGATAGTAAGTGTGAGTGGAGAGTGGCACCCATGTCTGTCTCAGGAAGAGTGGAGACGTCGCTGGGTCATATGCCAGGGAGGTTTGTGTGGGCTGCAGCTTACTACCCAGAAACACACCAAGACTTGTGACTTCTGTGAGGTTCCTGTGTCTTCATCAGGCCCTTCCAGCCCCAGAGGACCATGACTGCTCAAGAGTTTTCCATGTGGGAGAACCCAAAACAAAATTCAAAATAAAATAGAATGTGATGATTATAAAGTTGCGGCCAGGGACTGTGTGTGGCTTTATGCTGATGAGGGGAGAAAAACAGAGTGAGTGGTGGAAGGGGAAGAGCGTGGGAAAAATAAAGCCAAATGTTGAAGCTCTTAGCCTAGGATAAGGCTCAGAGACCTCTTTCGAAACTTAGAGTTTTGCTACTGCTATAGAACAGCACGGAAGGAGCTCTTGTCTTTTATTCATAGTTCTTCTGTGTGATAACATTTGAAAAGCACAATGTTCAAAAGGAGTCACCTGATGCTTTCTGGAAACAAAACTTTTGCTTAGATTTGACTCGTGGGGGGAAGTGATAGAAAGGGTTAGAAAACAGTACTTGCTTTTTCTAAGGGAGAGGATCTTTTAGGTCAGAAAACAATGGAGTCTGTCCACACCAGATTTGGAAAGGGCTGTCTTATGCTAGCTTTTTCCAGGCTTCTAACAATAGCTGTGACTGGCTTGACCTTCCTCAGGAGTTGGGCTGTTCCTACTCTGATATTGCCACCCAGGATAGTGAGACCGTGCTTCGGGCAATCTTGGCCTCTCAGCAGCCCGACCGGTGCAAGCGAGCCCAGGCCTTCATCAGTACCCAGGGTCTCAAGCCGGAAACTGTGGCTGAACTAGTGGCTGAAGAGGTGACACGCGAGCTGCTGACCCCATCGGAGGGAACAGGTGACCTGCCCCCGGGGCTTTCCAATACCTCAAACAGTATTCTTAGGTTCCTAGCATTAAGGATTTGGTTGTTAGGCTCCTATGCATCCTGCCTGGTGGCCTCTCATTTCCAGGTTACACTAGTAGGAAGAGAACAGTGTCTTGTTTTTATAGTGTCTAATTCCAGTAGTCGCCTTGCTCTGAATTACAGAACTGCTCCCTTGTAAGGTGACCCCAGGACTCACTCAAAGGACCCCTACCCAGGGAGCTCCTGGTGCCCAGGAGAGTTCTCCCAACTCCCTCATAGCAAAACCGTGCTTTTCTCCACCACTTTCTATTTAGGACATAAGCTGATGTTCAGCCCTGCAGAAGACAGCCAGGCATCTCTCCAGCTGACCATGCTATGTCAGGATCAGACACTAGTAGGCATGAAGTTGTTGGACAAGATCTCCTCCGTTCCCCATGGGGAACTGTCTTGCAGTAAGTTGTCCTTTTTCTTACATATTTTGAACCCAAACAGGTCTCTGAGAGTCAGTCTTTCCAAAATTCAGATGGGATCATTGCTCCTACTCTGTGTCCTCTCCCCTCCAGCATAGAGTGTGTTCTTGGTATAAGAAAGTTTGAAAATACGGAAAAGTACTCCAAAATTGAAACCCCATGAAAAGGTAACCTTTAATATTTGACTTTGTTATTTTACGCTTACAGAACCCTGCAAAGTGGGTATTACTGTCCCCTGAGGAAATGGAAGTTTATAGAGGTTGATTATTTTAAAGCTGGGAACCCTTTTTCTATCCCCAATATTGGAAATATTTTTCCCAGTGTGTCTTTTCATTGTACATGCTGCAGGGATTATTGTAGCAATTTAAAATCTGTATGTAGTCAAACCTCTCTATCTAGAAAGCCACTATGATTGCAGAACCACCAAGTGGCACTTGATTAGTCTTAAGATCCTCCAGCAAGGAATAAATAGCCTCTGATCCCCATGTTGGCAGGAACATCCCCAGTGTGTCTGCAGAGAAATGTCTCCATGTTTAGAGAGCAAGAGTCCCTTGTTCTCACTTGTTGGGCCTTTTGGAGGCAGAGTCACTATGTGACCGTCTTTGAGAAGACAGGATTGAGAGAAGACAGGTATCCTCCACTTTTCAAAGGTTTGCTCTACACCACTTTGCTTTTATAAAAGACCTACATTAGTACCTATTTACTAACCAAAAGAAATCCAAAGAGGATTTTCACTTTTACGAATAAAGGCGAAAAACAAAACTACTGTGTAGCACTTGCTTTGCAGAAAGCACGCATCCTGACCAACGAGTGGCATCACCAAACTCCTTCCCCAGGAACTACACACACTGTACATACTTTATTTCTGCTTTATATGAAGGGGCTTCAGAAAGTTCATGGAAAAATGGAATTGAAAGACAATGGATTTTTTTCATGAAATTTTCAAACTTTCTCTCATATAGTATATATTTCTCATACTATTCCTACTTTTACTATATGTTAAGAGTCCTGGTGTGGCACTGCAGGATAATGCACTGGACCATAAGGTCAGTTTGAACCGCAAGGTCAGCTGTTCAGACTCACCAGCTGTTCCTTGGAAACCCTAGATAAGGTTGCTGTGAGTCAGCACTGATTTGATGACACTTAACAAGTGTCATTTTAAATTTTATGTTATTTAGTATGATTTGGTAGGTAGGATATTGGGGGGGCTTGGGAATGCTCCAAAATTTTTCTTAATTTAATGATAATTGCTTCTTTGCTTCACACCCCTTGGGCTTATGAATGGTTTTATAGGACTGCTCTTTCAGATAATGGGGGGAACACGTGTAATTTAGACACCTGCCCCAGAGCTTGAGCTGCAGAGGTCAGAGACCTCAGAGGATGGGTATGAGAGCCCTCTCCAGACAGGCTCCTTCAGACACTAGGAGACCAGGGCTCATCACCCTGTCTTAGAGTACCTGCCCGTGCCCCTCCCCAGCCACAGAGCTGCTGATTCTGGCCCATCATTGCTTCACCCTGACATGTCACATGGAGGGCATCATCCGAGTGCTACAGGCTGCCCGGCTGCTCACAGACAACCACTTAGCCCCCAATGAAGAGTACGGACTGCTGGTAAGTAGCCCCCTCAGACCCCATCCTCCATCCTGAGGAAATGGCTATCTGCTCCAGAAAGGCTGGGATCAGCTCAGAGCTGATGTGGCCTTAGGACCTCTGTCCACCTAGGCTCCATTATCTACTTAGTAGGTGGCTGAGCGAACTCAGCCCAAGACTCATGCACTGTCAGAACTATAGGAGACAGCAAAAAGTATGCCCTCTGCGCTTGAAGGCTGACATACCACCACCACCACCTCCTATCCTGTGGAAGTTAGCTTTTCTAGAAGACTAGAAAAGCTTCATTGACCCTCAAACAAGGTTCAGACCTACCTCTTAAATCTGAGTTGCAATGAGCTGAAAATTCAAGCCTTATACACCTCCCCAAATTCTCCAGAGTTGACTGATCTGAGAGGCTAGGCAAGCCATTGTCCACTTTAATGAGGAGTGATGGGAAGAGTGCCTGCTCAGGATGATGACACTTCAGCACTTGGTGGTCACGCTTAGAGACAACAGGAGGGAACAACCCTCTGAACCCTCCAGTCTGACACTTGAGAAGGGAGGAGAGCTAAACTTCGTAGCCTGGCCATTAGCCTGTTTCTCCTGAAAGTAAGCAAACTGATGAGGCTAGTGTTCCGGCTCTGAGAATTCCAGGTGGCGCTAATGCTGCCCTCCCCAACCATCCTCAGGTTCGCCTCCTCACTGGCATTGGAAGGTACAATGAGATGACCTACATCTTTGACTTGCTGCATCAAAAGCACTACTTCGAGGTGCTGATGAGGAAGAAATTGGATCCGGTAGGTGTGAAACTTTTCAAGCTCAGGATGACACATACTGCTGGCATTCAGAAGTCTTGTTTTAGGAGTAATCCTATCAGGGTGGATCCCTGGGATATGAAGGGAATTTGGGACTTCCCCATGACATATATTGTTGACCCAGTAGTTCAGGGGTAGAAGAGTGTAGTGACTGCTGGCAGATGCTCAGTGGTGTTGAACATGAGCTTGTTCTCCACCGTGGCCTCTGTCATCTGCCTCTACTGCCTGAATGGTTGCTCCAGGAGGGCCAGAAACCCTTCCTGAGCCCTGTGAAAGTGCACCTTCCCAGGCTGCATCTAGTTGACACTGTAGCTGAGAACTTCCCATGACTAAGCCAAGCAGCGGGGAGGAGTTTTCATGGGAGCCTGAAAGTCTGTTGCTCAGAGCTTAGGAATGAAATGCATAGGCCTGTACCAGGCAAGCTGTGGTGTTATTTATGAGAGCCACCAGGAAGGACACTTGGAAGCAAGCCTTGGTTGCCAGGCTTCTGGGCCTATGTCTGTCCTCAGCATCCTGTGTGACCAGACTTGTCACTCATAGAGCCTGTTTCTAAGTCATTCATCTGGTTGATTATTGCTTCTGCTCATAGCATCTCTGAATAGTTAAAAACTAAGGTGCACCTTTGGCTCCTGGGAACTTGTGCTCAGCTAAGCCACGCAAGAGCTAAAGCAGAAAAATTCTCTCCAATATTGAACAAGTTTCAAGAGGAAACTTGGTAACACACCAGTTATCAAGAGGAAAGCAAATCCTGGACTTGGTTGTATCTTCAAGAACCCCCTCATCCCCAGGGGGTTTTAAGGCAGTTTTATTTTTGTATTTACTCTTTTAATAACTTATTTTTTTCTGATTACAAAAGTAATCACTGAATAAATGTAAGACACTTGGAAAAAGAAGTAACACAGAAAAAAGCCCTCCATGTTTATCCACTTGCTAACGGTTTACATGGACTCACAAACATGCATACTCACACACCTGTATACCGTAACAAAACCAACGTTGTGTACACTTGAAACCACCTGCTGCTGCTTCATTTATAATGAGTATCTCTGAAATCAGCGGATAGCAGCTTCTACATCAGTTTTAACGGCTACATGTTCATTATTCTATCCTCATTTTGGACATTGTTGGATTATTTCTAATTAGTTGCTTATATAATGTTATGTTCCTTTTCCCATTTTTGCTACCTGTTTTATTTGGAATCAGTTTCTAGACATGGAATTTTGAGAGCAGCATTTGAAGGCTTTAAACCCCTTTCTGGACTGTTTCACCAGTCGCACACTGCCTGTTTCTTTACACTCAGAGCAGCATTAGTGTTTGTGGTCTTTTTCATTTTTGCTCATTTCCTTTTTCATGAGTTTCAAAGAAATTTTAAGAACTAAGGGACTGGGCAGATCCTGAGACTTCCCTTTCTTCCTTCTTGGGCAGAGTGGTACCCTGAAGACAGCACTGCTTGACTACATCAAACGCTGCCGCCCTGGAGACAGCGAGAAACACAACATGATTGCCCTGTGCTTCAGCATGTGCAGGGAGATTGGCGAGAACCACGAGGCAGCTGCCTGCGTCCAACTGAAACTGATTGAGTCTCAGGCCTGGGGTGAGCAGAGGTGGCAGCAGTTACCCCCAAGGCTGTGATGTTGACCAGGGAAGACTCTTTAGGGCTAGCACAGGAAGAGCCCAGGAGATAGGCTCCAAGAAGCCAGAACAGAAGCATCTTGCGTTTCTTGAGATCCATAGCCTTTGTATCCATAGTATAATCCATCAGGAACCCATGGAGATGCTGATGTGAGCCTGCCTTGATGTTTCAGAAAAGACATCAGAAGAGTAAAAGGGGACATCAAATCCTACTGCAAAGTAGATTCCTAGAATGTACATTTTTGGCCGAACAGCCTTTACCTGAGTGAGACATAACATGGCACCTCACACATGAGCTGGACTGTTTCCATTCCAGTCTACCATCATCGAGTGGGGTGAGAAGTCTTGAGACTTAGATTCACCAAGTTTTTCTTTCCCTGCAGAGGAGAGCCTTAAGGATGGGCACAAGCTGAAACAGCTGCTGCTGAAAGCCTTGACACTAATGTTGGACGCTGCAGAGAGTTATGCCAAGGTGACCAGTCTTATCCCAGATCAGCCTTGGGGCTGGTCTCTCTTCAGTAGGAATTATTTTGTTCTTGAGCTCTTTAATGCTGGGGAGAGGGGAGTCATGGGCCAACCGGGGACGGACAGGGTGAGTACAGTTGCTGGAAGGTTAACATGGGAGACAGTGAACATGTCTTTTCCTTCCCGTTCCCCCTCCACCCTTGTTCCTCAGGACTTGTGTGTGAGACAAGCCCTGCGCTGTCGCCAGCTCACCAAGTTGATAACACTGCAGATTCACTTTCTCAACACCGGCCAAAACACAATGCTGATCAACCTGGGCCGCCACAGGTTGATGGACTGTATCCTGACGCTCCCTCGGTTCTACCAGGTGAGCAAACGAAAAATCCAGCCCACACTGCCAGTAGCATGGTCCTCAGAGATGGGAGTGGTCTGCCCAAGGTCTCCAGTTCTCCTTAGCTGTTGTATATACCATATTGCCCCTTTCCATGGCAGTACTTCTCATTATATTTGGGCAAAGATGCTGGAGAACAGTGAGAAGTACTGAGTCATTTCCCCCATGCTTTCAAGCCAGCTGACTATGCCTTTGGTCTCTGAGACAGGTGAGGTGAGAAACAGCATCCCTCTTAGTAGTCCTACAAGCCTCTTAGCCCCAGGGTTAAGGAATGACGCTGGTCAGCACAGGCATTTAGGGTTGGCAGGAGAGTGGTTCTAGCTCTTTACAGAGGAGTGGCCCTTTTACTGTTTCTGATAGAGCGAGCTGTAGGGAAAGAACATAGTTATTCTTTCTCTGCAGTTTTTTAAGTGGTCATTGATGAAGATGAAAGCATGGTAGGAAGGTATCTGGGGTTTTAAAAGGAAAGTGCTTAACTGACACCTGACTTTTCATTGAAACCCTGATACATTGCCTTTTAACATAATTGGTAATGATCACATTCACTATGTGTGAGTCTACAGTATTGTCTTCTAAAATATTCACCTGCCGTTTTACATCAAGTCAGCTCTGATAGTATTATTCTTCCATTCTAAGGCTTCCATTGTAGCCCAGGCCTATGACTTTGTTCCTGATTGGGTTGAAATTCTATACCAACAAGTGATTCTTAAAGGGGACTTCAATTATTTGGAAGAATTTAAGCAGCAAAGGTTATTAAGATCCAGTATATTTGAAGAGATTTCAAAAAAGTAAGTATTGAGTTGACTATAAGCATTTTTCCTTGCCTCTTTGAGGTAAGGCATGAGTTAAGTGTTTTATGACTAAGTACTCTATGTATATATATATACCTTTAGCTGTCCCTTGAGCTAGCAAAGATATGTCAATACCTTGGAGGATGAGTTAAAAAGTTACCTATGGCACTTGTACTTAAAACGGGAGGACAGCTACTCAGCTCACCTGAAGTACCCTTTGGAGCCGTGAATTTATTCTGATGGAGTAAGCAGTAAGACACGCCTTTTTAATAAAATGAATTCCATGTTTATCGAGCACCTCCCAGTACTAATCTGAGAACATTTCCCAGACTCCAGAGCCCTCTCCTCTACAGGCAGTGAGGCATGTCAGGGCTACCAGTTGCTCGCTCACCAACAGACAAGATTTTAACCTGTACACTCTTTTGTCTAGATATACACAGCATCAGCCTACTGACATAATGGTGAAAAACCTTAAGAAGTTACTCACATATTGTGAAGATATCTACTTGTATTATAACTTGGCATATGAACACAAATTTTACGATGTTGTAAAGATGCTTCTGAAGGACCCCCAGACAGGGTGCTGTTTAAAGGACATGCTGGCAGCTTAGATGGCGTCAGATGGCTTGAGGGCGACTGCTGCCAAGATCTTCTTGGTGCCTTTTTCCCTGTACTGATGTGAGCACTGACAGATGTCCATGATCAAAGTGGAGTAACACACTGGGGGATTTTTGTAGTCCGAGTTGTAAAACGCCAAACAGAACCACATCTGTCCTTTATGAGTGGGAATTAAAGAATGAGGTGGACTTTTCATAATGAAGTTCCTACTTCAAAGTGATTATTCATCTATGCCATTTTACATGGCTGTATTAATAGCAAAAACATAATTTCGCTCAGGATGGCTTCTATTTACAATATTGATTAAAGAATACCTATGCCTGCAAATTCCAGTTTCAAAGGAATTTAATGTTACTTATACAGTTAAGGAACAGATGATACATTTTCCAGTTTTTAGAAACTGATCTCTCGCCATTATTATTAATTACTAAGATGCTTCTAGCCCTTATCTGCCTTGAAATAATCTTTATTTGCTTAAATTATGGCTGTGTAGTTACTACTTTCTATGAATTCCTAAAATCATGTAGATGGCTCTGTCTTCCACTTAGTAGTCTGCAGAGTTTTGACTAAGAAGCCTATTTTCTGTGTAGAGGAAAACTGTAAGCCCTCCTCCCCTCGACCTCTGTGATTGTTACCAAAACATCTTGGTTAAATAGCTTTTACATTCTGTCACCATAACAACTTTACCCCCTCGAGTTATAGGCTCAGCCACATCCTATAAATAACTCTAGATATTCCATTGGAAATAATTTTCCCAAATAAATAAACACTTTTGTTGGTAAGTGTGACAACTATTTAGAGCCTGGTAAATTATTGTTTTAAAGCTGTGACTACTTGTCAAGCATTTATCAAGCTTTAGTAGATACATGAAGAATAACTCTATTCCCAAGAGCTGTTCTATACTCTCCAAAAATACCTCTTGGGAGAACAAAATTAAGTCCTCACAATAGTGATTTTATTAAATTAGTTGCTTTATAAAACATTGCAGATGTCATCATTGTTAACATAACAATTTATCAAACTGTAGTTAACTGGTGCAGTTTGCTGGGCATGTTTTATAAAGAAAAGGAAATGCCAAAAACCCTGTTAAAGTTGTTCCATTGCAGCCTAGGAGAACAAAGGAGTTGCTTCTCAGACATTTAAACCAAGCAGTTAAAACAAGCGAAGTTTCCCTCCCTCATCCAGAGCACTCCATCGGTAGAAATGTTCTGAAAAATATGAACTTGACAGTCTTTGCACTCAAGAGATGCCACAGCCTGAAATGCAGTGGAGGTTTAACCTTCTTCAGTTTCAAAGTTGTAGGGTTTTGGTCATTTATTTTTAAGTATCAAACTCTAGTGGCTTTTCGTTTGCAGTATCTTCACTCTGAGATAAGCAGTCTTCTTCACAATGTAATTTTAATATCCTCACTCTCAATTTTAAGACAAAGCAATTTTAATACTAGGTGCACACCACATGCCCTTGCTGCAAACTGCTTTTCTTGACAAGTTACGAAGTAGTTCAAGGAGGTATGGTTAAGGCTGTATTACTGAATGGTGCTGGTAAATACTATACAATTTGTCACGTTGCAACCTTGTTTCCAATTTAGTAACTGCTGCTATGGAATCAGATAGCAACAATGACAACATTATTAGGTTTTTC